GGCTAATTCCATTCATACTCGGGACAACTCCCAAATTCTAATGTGCAATTGTATAGGTTGAGGCATACCCCAATGGGTGGTTTGTGTTTCTTCAGAATCGGAAAAATAAAAAGGGAACTTTTCCCGTTGTGATTTTTCAGGGTTGTAAGGGCTCAATTTCCTCCTTTTCACCTTCAGTATCTTCCCCATGAAATTTAGTGTAACTCTGAAAATGTTCAACTGGCTCTCCATGTCGAATTATATTACCATCATCAACCAAGATCATTATTTTTGCATCATCATTTGTAGATTCATCAACATCAACTGTAGGAGAAGCATCAACATCAGCCTTACTTTTATTCCTATAATTACCCCCACTTACATGGCCATTATGAGAATTGAAAAGGAACATGGTTGGTTGTCATAGGTAATAAATTATACATTTGGTTACTTCCCACACTAGAATACCCATTTCCACCAGAACGATTTTCCCTGACAAATCGATGAATACCACTTTCCATAACATTACTAACAACAAACAAATTGTACTGTGTTGGGAAGCATACTACTTACAAAACTAAGAAAATATCTAAAATCACTATTGTCTAGAATCTGTATAACTATATTTGATTCAGGACATTGAAAAGATAAACGTATTTGGTTAGTGTGTAACCTGGACTTGAAAGCAACCAATGTAATTAATCCGACGAAGTTGATATCATGCTTATGTCTACACCAAAGCATGTGTAGTCTGGAGCAATATATTACATACATCCTTCGATACACTGCCATTGCCCTCCACTAGAAAGTGGCACTCGGAAAAAATATTGTATACATAATCATTTCGGAACGTGTAATGAAGTTATCAAAAACACAAAGATAGCATATATGGAACATAAACACACAAATACCCTAATTTTATCATTCCGGAACATACCTCTGGAATGTACGACCATTCCGGAGTATACTCCATAATACACTTTTTCAGTCCAGAATGTACGAGGTGTCAGATTTCGGATCTAATTCTTACCAAGCACCTACAACTCTGGAACGAAAATAAATGCTTCGGAATATCGTATTCCGGAATACGTTGCACGAGTCAAGCCCATAATGTTCTTACATTCTCCGGAATACACCATTCCGGAGTAAGTGGTCATTTTTAAAAAGAAAAAACTTAGTTACGTTTATTAATAAAGTCGTTTATAAATGTTAGTTTACTCAATATCCAATAGAAAGTATGGTAGTGTATATCGATCAAACTTATCATGAAAATATAATTTTATATACAGGTAAAAAAAATTTAATTTTATAATTAGTTTATAACATATATTTAAATGTTTATTAAAAAAAACTACTCCATAAAATAAAAATAAAAAATATTATGTTTTCACAATCTACCCGAATGAACAATCTTAGATCTGTTTTGACTATATTAAAAAAAAAAAAAAAAAAAAAAATCAAAGCGTGGACCATTTGACCAATATCTGGATTTTGGACAAAAACATCAAAAATCCTAAACCCACAAAAGCCCTAATCCTTCAGTAGGCAGGAGTGTTTGCCCAACAAAAACCCTAGGACCTCTGCCAGAATCCATCTACTACTCTCATCTTGATTATACCTTCAATCACGCCGCAATGGAGACGGAGAGACTATCCTATGGTGGCGGCGGTGCTCATGTGGCGGAAGCCTTCAGTTTGATGGTTCAGACGGTTTTGGTTGCTGAGAAATCCATTTGTTGGCTTCTGTTTCTGGTAAATCTATACTACATTGCCGTTATTATCGTTTCTCTACAAGATCTGTTTTACTGCAATTTTCCGGTGACTAGTTTAAGTTGATTCCGTGCATTTTACTTGTTAGAGACTCCATTCATGCGTTTTTGCTTCACTTGAGTGTCATTTTAATTTCGATTTGACGACTGACGCTGCTCCGGTTAGCAGATCTCGCTGATTTTAAGATGTTTGGTTAAGAGATCCGTTACTCTCTCTCCTTTTGCCGGAGTGACTTCGTTATCTAGTTCTTAGTTGTAACATCCGTTCTATAATTCGTATGTATACCTTTGATTACTTGGTGCAATCGACAAATTAGACGACATGTTGATTTATTTAGCTTTGATTTGTGCTGTGTGCTCCAACAATTGATAGGTAGCTAAAGCTGTGTTTTTTTCTTAATCATCAATTGTTTCACAAATTGTGTGGTATACTGCATCTACTATGTGTTAGATCAGATTAAATGAAGCTTATTACTCAGGTAGATCTTTGATGATGCTCTCTCAAACTTGCTATATTGTTTCAGATCGGATCGATACCCAACAATGCTGATGCTCTCTCAAACTTGCTTGATGCAGAGAAGAGGTTAGATACAGTTTCTTCTTCGTTTTCTTGCTTTACTACTCCTAGGAGTGCTTCTCTAAGATGGGTTTTTTCATCCGGGCAGGTTTCCTTTAAGTGATCTTAACAAAGTTGCAAGCCCTGATGCTGAATGCAAGGACGCCAGTGAAACAGAGGATGATAGTGATGATGATGAAGATGCTGCTGTTGGTGAAGACAGTGATAATGATGCTGAAGATTCATCTGGAGAAGACAATGATGATGAAGAAGCAGATCCGGACAGTGATTCAGATGCGAATGATGATGGAGAAGATGATGATGATGACGATGATGAAGACGATGATGATGATGATGATGAAGATGATGATGAAGACGAGGAAGAAGATGAAGAGGAAGAGAACCAACCACCCTTTAAGAAGAAAAAGTAGGAAAACAGTATCGATTCCATTTGTCCATTTGTGCTATTATTATTAGTATTATTTAAGGGGCTTGAGGTTTAGACTTTAGAAAAGGACACATCATTTGTTTTGCGTTCTAATTTTGTTTTCCCCTCAAGCACAAGCAGTAGTAGTAAATCAGACATGTAGCTATTTCTACATGGATGTAGAATCCATTTGGTATTGAGAGTATGTAGGATTTGTGTTCATGGTTAATTTTCTCTTAGTATCTCTCTTTAGCACAACTATAAGCCCAGGTCATGAAGAGGATAAAGAATTGACATCATCGTAACTTGTAAAATATGAATTAATTATTCTTGGAAATTCATACAATTAAGATGATCCTAAGAAATGTACTTAATAACAAGAAATGTATTAAACCCAATGTCTAATGAATCCTACCTAATAAATGAAAGTTTTCAGTCATGCGGCACCTCCTCATTCAATACGACACATGACATTTTTATAATTTTTTCAACTAAATTTAATTCCACTTGACAAATTGTGGATTTTTTGGTTTTTTATCAAATTAAAAAATATCAAATACTTTACTGCATCTTATACAAATAAAGGAAACGTGAATATCTCATTCCGTATTTTGTCAATGAATACATTAAATCCAAATATATCTTCCTAATTACATACACAATTTTCGGAAATCACCACTCAAATTGACGCTTATTTGCAGAAACTTATCAAATTTGAATTCATTAACAACTATTCTTCATATCTTTTTCCAAATTCAATTTTGTAAAATATATACAACTACAATCTCATTCATATGTCGCGTTTTATTGAGAGATTGAAGGTTTACAGCATCACCACGTTCATCATCAAAATCCATTATCGTCAATATCTACTACATCAGGTTAACATATGTGATGTTCGACACAATTAGTTTACAACATCACGAAAATGATTTGATTCTTTTTTATTTGAACATTTCATGTTTTCCTCTTCTCCTTTCCATGATATGGTCGAATTGTATGGAGATTTATATACTAATTATTTACTCATGTTTCACTACATATAAGCTGTTCGATTAAATGCCTCAAAGAAGTTTTTTTTTCTTGTCACACACCTTGCTGCAACTGTGATTGTCATGTCATATGTGTTTTCTACAACCATCCATATTGTAAAAGACTGCATGAAGACATATAATTGTTTTTTCATATTGTCCTATCATGTATAATTGTTTTCACTGCATATAAGCTGTTCGATTAAATGCCTCAAAAAAGTTTTTTTTTTTTCCCTGTCACACACCCTGCTGCAACTGTGAGTCATGTCATATGTGTTTTCCTACAACCATCCATATTGTAAAAGACAACATGAAGACAGATAATTGTTTTTTTTATATTGTTCTATCATGTATAATTGTTTTTCAAATTAACCGATTGGTTGTATGTCATGGACGTAATTTGTTTGCTGATGGATTGTATTTGGAGTTGGTTTCATCTTCACACTGACAAAATACACCAACTTTTTAGCTAATAAAAGAGAATATTTTCGTATTATTAAGAATAAGATAAAAGATCTTACATTCTTCGCCTGATCTTTTGGGAGTATCCTACTGATGAGAGCTGAAACTAAATCAATCCTGAGAAAAACAACTGCTAATCAGACATGGTTTAAAAAAATCCCTTGTCTGGTTTGAAGTAATTTGTTTGTTTTCTGATTGTACATATGAAATTATGAAATCATTTGGTATCTTTCATTTCGAATAGTGGTATGTCATGGACGATTTGTAATAGGGATAGAGATTTCCATTATTCCATGTCTTATCAGTTAGAAGTTTTTTTGCCTAAAACATATTGCCCTCTCTTCTACTGTTTTATTTTTTGATGTCGTATGAAAGATGCATCATTTTCGAAAGTTTGAAACCAAATTACTTGCAATGTTATGAATTGATGATTTTACAGAAACCTTAAAATTGATGGGTATATTAGGCATTTTTAGCGATAGTCAAACAATCTCCATCAACTTGGCGCCAATAAAACTGGATTTCTTGGACATTTGAGTGATACACAAACATTTTTCATCATTGAAGTCACAGTGAAACCTGGTTCATAATATAATGTTAGTTGCTAATGCATCGTGTTAGTTGCTAATGGTCTGTTATCATCGTGTTTTTAACATGGTTTGTAGTAATCTTGTTGCTTCATCATCATGCTTTTGAAAATTATTTTTATCATTTATTTATCATACTTTTCTGTTATATAACAACTGATCTTCGTTGCTACATTTGCTTTACAGCTTAATGGAAAACACCAACATTACCATGATCAGTGACTTCGCACTTTCACAAGATGACTACACGATCAAGGTTCGAATCATTCGTCTGTGGAAACAAATTAGTATGATTAGAATGATATTGATGGACGAAAGGGTATTTTGGATTTTTTTTTTGTTTTTTATTTTTAATACTATTAATATATACTAAGTTAAAATTATTTTTATGTGTAGTATAACTTATTATTATATTTTTTTCTTTTATTTATAGGGCGCCAAAATTGAATGTAATGTGGATAAACCATTTGCATCCCTACAAGGAAAAACTTTGGAAGAATATGGTGATTACTACATTCTAAAACCCACAATAAGGTTAAATAACGATGTTATAAAGTTTGTTGATGGTCCACACAAACTCTATTTCCAGTATAACACTAAGGTTATTAAATGCAAAGACTTTTGTGGGCCCCAAAATTCCTTTGCTTTCATTGACTTCCAACAACTTCATTCTAATTCGATCCAAACCAATGTGTCATTTGGTTAGTGTATTCCCTTCATCCCTTTGCTAATGGATTAAATTATCTTAATTTAATTTTCTACATCATAAGAAATACATACTTAACTTTTTGTTGTCTATAATATAGATATTATAGGAAACGTTTTCCAGTGTTTTCCATTGGTGGTTTAAATGATGGAGAGGCAATTATTAACAATCCTGATGATCTTCTCATTGTTGATTCGACTATATATCGTTGAAAATGCCAAGAATCCGATTTATTTTCAAGAAAGAGCAATCCTTGTTTTTATATATTTAGCAATTTTTATTTAATTAATGTTTAATGTTTATAACATTATTGTCATCATCATTTTATAAATACGTATGTTTTTATTTTATTTCTTTATATTTCGAAATAGTTAATTTATTCTTTATATATTTTTGTCTTTATGTAAAATTAATACTAAAAAACATTTATTGCTTAACAAAATATATTAATTTTAAAAAAAAAAAAATCCGTGTTTTACACGGGTCTCATACCTAGTAGACAATATATATAGGGATATTCACCAAAATGATAACTATTGTTAATTACTGTACATATATAACAAAACGACCACTTTTTTTTTCCTATAAAGTGAAACACGCCACCATCTTTGAAACTTGATGAAGTTTCGAATTTCATAGTCATAACGAGTGGTCCTCATTATTTAAGGTTGAAACTTGATATTAGAACTTTCAGTGGTCCTATTATTAGAGAACCATGTAATTTTCCTTGTCCTATATTTTAAATTTACCAAATCATTGGTTTCCAACCATATTTTTCCAAAAGCCGCTCCAAATTAGGGTGTCAAACACTAAGAACATGTTCGAAACTCTTTATTTTGAGTTCATTTTATGCATTTGAAAGTAGTTGTTAGAATGTGGACACTATGCTTACAAAAAATTCAAGTAGAGAACATAAACATCAACAATTTCAAAAATAGTACAATTTTGAACTTGGTGGTACATGTTTCAAAACCGATACAACTTTTTGTCAATAAAAGTATTTTGAATTTGTACGTGTAGTTCGAAACTATCGAAGTTTTGAAACAACTTTTTTGAAAAAATAGCAGTTTCGAAACTACTAATTTTTATCAACACTTACAAGTTTGCAATTTACAAAAAAATGGTCAAATTGTTAAATGTAATAAACATTTAACAACAATGATCATTTTGCATGAATATCCTAATTTTCCATGTTAAATCATAAATGTAATACGTAAAAGTAAATTCTAACATGATAACGACGGATTGAAATCTATCGTTTAAGTTTTATCGCCAATTCTTTTACTAGGAGTTGTGAGTCGCAAATATCATTGCTCGAGGGTGTATGACCATATTTGGAGTTGTATTACTTTGTATTCCACTTTTCATAGGAACCGTTTTTGTTAAAAACTTATGTCATAAATGTATTGTAACGCCCTGTTCCTGGTACGTATTTAATTATTAAATGTTTTTTATGAAGAGCTACTCGGCGAGTAGTAGCCCTAACTCGTCGAGTAGATGCCGGGTTGCACGCGGGTGTTAAGTGATCTACTCGGCGAGTCCGCGCCTGGACTCGACGAGTAGGCCAGTCTGGAGGAAAACCCTAATTTTAAGGGTTTGCACCCTATTTAAACATCTTATTGCGCCCCAACTTCGCCTCCATCACCCTCAGAGCATTTCTTACCAAACCCTAGCTATCTTAAAGAGTGTGTGAGTGATTGTTGCTTTGTGAAGGAACTTTTGGTGCACTTTGGAGCAAGTAGAAGAAGGAGAAGGTTGTAGAGTTCAAGGAAGGGGAAGTAGATCCAGAACACACTCATTTGTGGCCATCTTTTCTGGTAATAAAGTCTCCATCTTGCTCATTGATCTATTAGATCTTGTTTGTCCCCAAATTGTTGCTTTTAAGCCCAAAAACCCCAAATCCTTTGTGGAGAAACCTTATGGTCGGGTTATACTTCAGATCTGGACCCTTATTGCATTCTAGAAGTGTAAAGTTTCAGTTGTGGTCATGATTGAGGTCCCTTTTGAGCTTGGAACCCCATTAAGAGCTTAGATTTGGCATTTGAAGCTTTTAAAGCCATGCATGCACGTAAAGTTTGCAACTTTACATGATAAGCATGCCCTAGGAACTTGGATCTGTGATTTGAAGCCACTGCATGGCTCAAATCAGGTCTGTATGGAGATTGGACTGAATGGACTCGGTGAGTCTCAAGGTCGACTCGACGAGTCATATGAAGATAGTCGTGGACTCGACGAGTTGGATGAACAACTCGGCGAGTCTGATGAAGATTGCCTTAGACTCGACGAGTTGTTCATACAACTCGGCGAGTCGGATGAGTTTTCCTGAGAAAAGTAGTGTTTGAGTGAAATAGCTTCATTCCTTCTTAGATATACGTGAAGTTAGCAACTTTACGTGTTCAGATGGTTACAGGGGTTCAGATCTACAAGTTAGATGATCTGGAATTGTTTAGAATTTAATTGTATGGAATCTGCACGACAGAACTCGGCGAGTTGTTCTTGGACTCGACGAGTCCAGTCGCGAGTCCCCGTTTTTCTTCGATTTGTGAGTCCAGGGTGAGTCAGTGAGTAGGAAAGGGACTCGGTGAATTAAAAGTCAGTAGTAGTAAAGAAAGGACTCGGCGAGTCTGTGCCCTGACTCGGCGAGTCTGGTCAAACAGGAAGTCGACTTTGACCAAGGGTGAAATAGTCATTTTACCCTGAGATTAGTTATCAGTATTTGATCTAGTGTTTATGGGATTTGTAGCCGGGGAGTTCCGGAGCAGCGGTCAGACAGCCTCAGATTTAGCACCTCAGCAGCCAGCATTACAAGGTGAGTTTCCTTCCAGTAGGAACGGGTCTACGGCCACAATACCGACCCGTTTAGTTAGCAGTAGTTCCGGACTTCGGTCCGATGCAGTAGTTTAGTGTGCTTGATGTCTTTGTGATTCAAGCATGTCTTTGTGTTATGTGTTCCGGACTTCGGTCCGATGCAGTATGCAGCATATGTGTTTACGCTAGTAGTTATGATTATGCTATGCTATGTTCAGTCAGTTTCCGGACTTTGGTCCGATGCAGAGGGCAAGGCCCTGGTAGTTCCGGACTTCGGTCCGATGCAGTTTCCGGACATTGGTCTGATGCAGAGGGCAAGACCCTGGTAGTTCCGGACTTCGGTCCGATGCAGTTTCCGGACTTTGGTCCGATGCAGAGGGTAAGGCCCTGGTTAGTTCCGGACTTCGGTCCGATGCAGTTTCCGGACTTCGGTCTGACGCAGAGGGCAAGGCCCTGGTTAATTTCAGACTTCGGTCCGATGCAGTGGGCGAGGCCCAGTATGTGTTTTATATGTTATTGTATGGTATGTGGTAGATTGGGGGAACTCACTAAGCTTCGTGCTTACAGTTTTCAGTTTTGGTTTCAGGTACTTCCGTAAGTAAAGGGAAGAGCTCGGGATGATGGCATGACACACACCACAGTTTCAGTTTTATCCTGGGAGTTTTATTCAGATATCTAGATATGATTGATACAGTAGTTGTTTTGACACAATTGTTTGATCTTTAAGTTACACGTTTTATGGTTTTAGTATGTATGACATTCGATGGTGTGATTTTTAGTAATATTAAAACAAAATTTTTGGGTCGTATTTTTGGGATGTTACATGTATAATACATTTTTTATAGAATTAGAAGGTTAGTAAGGATCCAATGTACAGGGTAAAAAGGACAAAATTGTTGAGTAACTTTTATTTAGAATCCTTACGATAAAACTAAGAATAAATAGGACAAATCTGGATATTGACATATAGTTAGGGGCTATTTGGTTATCCGCCTATCTTTATTAGGTCGTAAGGTATACCTGCGGTTTAGGAGAAAGGTGGTTGGAACAGCACCCAAGAACACCACACCCTGGGTGCGGTTTAGGGTGCAATTTAGGCATATGTGGTTTCTCCTCACCACCCTCTCTCTCCCCTTTTGATTGGCTGGAGGTATTTTAAATGTAATTTCTATTTTTTTCAATTTTTATTAACACACACACATACATACATACATACATACATACATACATACATACATACACACACACATATATATATATATATATATAATAATAATAATAATAATAATAATAATAATAATAATAATAATAATAATAATAACTCTATTAAAATTTATGGTTTTTAAATCTCAACAAAAAGAGTATAATATTTGTATAAAATATATTAATTAAAAAAAATGAAAGGAAGTGAAATGTGACAATATCCCAGGTTTTTAAGAGTAAAAGGAGAGTAAGGGGAAAACTGACGTGACACAGAAAAAATGAAATGTGAAATGTATGAACAATCTTAGATCTTATGTCCGTTGCTAATTTTAGTGATATCAACATATTTTAGTGTAGTTATTATTAATATTAAGGTAAGTTGAGCTTTATTTACTTATTGAGACAGGAGGTGTGAGATACACACTTGAAGTGATAAATGTGAACTCGAGAATACGGGGGTCCGTGGGCAGCGCCCGTAGGTATAGGGTTCCAAGGAGCAGCGCCCCTGGCGGGGTCTAGGGGAAGCACCCATTGCGGGGTCCAAGGGGCAGAGCCCCGAAACCTAAACGAATTTCTATAACAGGAAAGACTCCAACCATGCATTTCCCAGAAAAAACAAATGGTGACATCATTATGATGTAATGATTGGTTTTGTCATATAACCAACCTTCTAACCACCATTTTGGCGCCAAAATGCATATAACCACCTTTTAACTAATTTCTTTCCTATGTAAGAATAGATTGAATGTTCTAGAAAAAAGGTTACATTCTATATACTTGAAATTTGTTCATCAGATTCTCTCTATCTCTCAAAACACAAAATAGCAAGATACTTTCTGTGTTTCAAATTTAGAAGTGGCCTGAATTCCAAATTGTTTCTCTTGGATCATCCCAAATACAATTTCGTGATACCCCCGTGCATAAGGGTCGAAATCACAAATTTTGAAAACTGATTGCAACCACGATCCTAGAAATTATCCAAGTATATTGATATTCTAAAGACATAAAATCTAACAATGTCGGTCTTTGTGTTCAATTTGGGAGAGATACCTTTTATACTTAAGCAAACTAGAAATTTAGTCCCTCAATTTTTACTAACATGTGTGTGTAGTTCATTTAGAAGATTTTCTTATATTCTTTAGAGTAAAAGGACGGCGTTAACTCTTGATTGTTAAACCATATCACAAACCTTCCATATGAA